TGTGGACTGTCAATCTTTTCCTCTGACCTCAATCTATATCTAGTTTGTCTTGGTTCTCTCCTTATTATTATTATTATTATTATTATTATTATTATTATTATTATTATTATTATTTAGCAGAAGGAGCCTCAAAAATAGGGCAAAACTGATAAAACCGGTGAGTTCCAGGTAGGTTGGTTTGGACCACATTTTGGCTCCAAGTTTCTTTCCAGATAGTTGGTGTGAAAGGAGCATTTCATTAATAGGAGGCTTGGCACAGTGTCTAGAATGCTGGCCACAGAATCCGGAAGGGTTGGTTTCATTATCCCCACCCCCCTCCTACCCTTAAAAGCTATTTCCCTAGGTAAGTCACTTAACATATGAGTTCCAGAGGTTCCTAATTTTAGAGCTGAAAAAAGGCTTGAAAACTCTAATCCAACCTCTCGTTTTTTGCAGATGAGGGAGTTGAATTCAAAGTTGTCTTCAAGGCCACTGCCAGCTCTAAATCTATGAGCCTATGATGTAGGAACCAAATCTATGATTTGACCAGGAGCTTTTAAAGTCAATGACCTCCCTGGAAAATGAAAGATTCACCAGGGAGAGTCTTTGTCATGTGGGACCCTTTATGGATGGATAGTGGTCAAGGAGTTCATTGAACTTAAAACCATATTCTTCCTGCACTTCTCCAGAATCAGGACATGAAACCAAAAAGACATTCTTGTCCAGCCATTGGGTGAATTTTATGTCCTTTCAAAGAGGAAAAGAAATCATTTAATAAATGACATTTAGAGATGCAGTATGGTATGATTGTAGAGAAATGGTCTCTGAGCCAGTTTAAAGTTCAAGGGTTCCAGGTCTTTGACGTATAACAGTTACGGTTATATACCCTAGGCAAGACACAGTCTCTCATTGTCCAAGGAAACTCTAAGTATCTAAGTTACAGAGAAGGCCACAATCTGAACTGGTAGGAGTTTACTCAAGGAGGTGCTTATACCAATGAAATCTCAGGTCTAGCTCCTTACTTTATTCTCTCTGTAGAGACAGTGAGACCTAGTAGATAGAAGGTCAACCAAAGAGGCAGGAAGAACTGGGGATCACATCTTGTCTCAGATACATAATGGCTGTGAGCCCTTAGTGCCCTCAAGCAACTCTCTAAGGCTATACAGCCCTCATTTGGTTTACAATGTTACCTATACCAATGAAATCACAGGCATAGACCAAAAAAATTACATCAAATCTTTAAAGTTTATATACTTTTGTGGCACTTGAGCTTCACAGAAACCTGTATATGAATATTGTCATCCCCATTTTAGAGATGAGGAAATGAAAGCTCAGAGAGGTGTGACTACTCCTGATTCCAAGTCTAGCACACTTTTCCTTACACTAAGAATCCTGGTGCCCTAGACTTGCAGGCCCATCCTTATTCCATCCATCAGTCACTAAGCATTTATTGAGTGCCTACTATTTCCTAAGCACTGTTTAAGAGTTAAGGATTCAAACGATGAGCAGGTGGATTTCAGAAAAACCTGGAAAGACTTATATGAACTGATGCTGAGTGAAGTGAGCAGAACCAGCAGAACATTGTACACAGCAACAGCCACACTGTGTGATGACTAACTTCGATAGACTTATCTTTTCTTAGCAATGCAAAGATCTAAGACAACTCTGAAAGACTCATGATGAAAAATGCTGTAGACATCCAGAAAAAGAACTATGAAGTCTGAATGCAGATAGAAGCATATTAATTGTTCTCCCCTTTTTTTTTGCTTCTTCTTTCTCATGGTTTCTCCCATTGGTTCTAAGTCTTCTGTACAATATGACTGATGTGAAAATAGGTTTAATATGTATGTGTATGTTGAGCCTATATTGATTTGCATGCCATCTTGGGATGGGGGAGGGGAGAGATTAGGAGGAGGGGAAACCAGGACCTTTCCTCAGCTTCTATTCTTTATTTGGAACTCAAAATCTTGTGGAAATGGGTGTTGAAAATGAAAAATAAATAAATAAATTTCTAAAAAAAAAAGAGTTAAGGATTCAAAGACAAAATTGGAACCAACCTTACTTTCAAGGAGATTACATTCTGTGGGAGAAAGAACAGGTGTGCAAAGAAAGAGATACCAAAGTTGGTTTTCAAGAGCATTCTAATTTTAAGTATATGATCCCCACCAGTCACATTTAGTTGCTACTTATTGACTCTGATCCAATCAATCCTCTGTTTGGCTTTTATAGCCATTCACAACTTGGCCTCAACCTGTATGTCCTGCCTCATTCCGTAGTACTTCCCTTCCATTCCTGGATGATCCAACGAAACCGACCTTCTCTCTATCCCTCTCACAATGCTCTGTCTTCACGTCTCTGTGTATTTGGTCTGGCCATTTTTCGTGCCCAGAATTCACTCTCTCCTCACCTCTGCCTCAGAGACGCCCTCTCGTGCTTCAAGGAGCAGCTGAAGCCTGCCACATTCAGCCTTTCCTAATCTCCCAAAGCCAGTGCTCCGCCTTGAGAACAACCCTCTCTTTGTTGACCTTTTCTGAATTTAGGAGTTTATCCTCTTTACATTTGCTGTCTATGCTTATGTATGTATGCATTGTTTTCCACATAGAACATCTACTCTTTGTCAGTAGATATTGTTTCATTCTTCGTATGCCTAGTGATTAGAACAGTGCTGATACATAGTAATAATAATAATAATAACTAGCATTATTAGATTGCTTTAAGGTTTGCCAAGCACTTTTCAAATACTATCTCATTTCATCGTCATAATAGCTCTGGGAGATAGGTATCATTATTATTCCCATTCTATAGATGAAAAAATTGAGGCAAACAGAGGTTAAGTGATTTGCTCAGGATCACACAGCTAATAAGTATCTAAGGCAGGATTTGAATTCAGGTCTTTCTGATTCCAGGTCCAGCATTCTATCCACTGCACCACCTAAATGCTTAGTAAATATTTATTAATTGATCAATCAGCTGATTGATCGAAGTTCCTCCAAACCAAGTTAGGTGGCACAATGGATTAACACTGGATCTGGAGTCAGGAAGACTTGAGTTCAAATCCAGCCTCATCCATTTATTTATGAGCTGTGTGACCCTGAGCAAGTTACTTAATCTCTGTCTGCCTCAATTTCTTTAACTGTAAAATGGGGATAATAAAAGCACGTACTCCCTAGGGCTGTTGTAAGGATCCAGGACACACTTTGCCAATACTTCAGTTTTCTGGCCTGTGTCTTTGGGGGTGAATGGTTTTTCATTTTCTGGCATCTCATCCCAAACTTTTGACACTGATGGAAAGAGAGCCTTGGGTTCCCCTCCTGTGCTAGCTCCTGGGTCCTTTGGCTAGAGGATAGTGGTTTTTAAGGTTAATAACTTGTTGGTGTTTCCCTCTTTCCTAGAGGGGTAGTGTTTCCCACCTTTTTTTCATTATCTAGGGAGGGAAATAACTTGAGCAGGAACAAAGCCGATGCGACTGAGCCAAAGGCAGGCCTCAGAACCTTATTTATCAAAGCCCCAGCAGAGTGGGAATAATTACTGGCACTCTGTTGGGGGTGTCAGTAACACCATCTGAGCACAAGGATCACTCAGGCTTTTCAAGGAGAAAAATTAAAAAGGAAAAGCAAGAGAGAGTCAGGAAGGAGGGGGGTGGGGTGGGCAGAGATGCTGCTCCTTCTTCACTGGCCTGCCACTGACAGCCCTGGGTCCCTTGCATGGAGTGGCAAGGAGGCTGCCTAAGAGGGGTTTTGTCTGGCTGAAAAGGGGCTTAAGTGAAGGGGGGGGGGTGGAAACCAGGACCTTTCTTCAGCTTCTATTCTTAAAGCAAAATGGTCTCTGTTGCCTTGGGATTAGGTTGGTTAATAAGGAAATCATGGTGGGTGAGCGGGTGGGCTTCTTTTATTTAATAATTGATTAGTTCACTCTTCAGAAAAGTCAGCACTGCTTCCTTTTTTTTTTTTTGAAGCTTAAATTCTTAGAAGATGACAGCTGGAAAGGATCTTCAGAGGTCAGTTAGTCCAGCCTCCAGCCTCCAAGTTGAACCTTATTGAACAGGTTTCTCAAGCTGGTCTTAAGTACATCTGATGAGCAGAGGCTAGTCGAAACTCTTCAGACGTGAAATTGTCAATTATCTTTTAAATACCAGTCTAGCTCTTCCCAGCTAAGCAACCAGATCAGAAGGTTTAGGGCTGGAAGGGGCCTTAGAGATCTAATTGATTAATCAATAACCATTTACTAAGGCACCATGCTTGGGGCTAGGGATAGAAAGACAAAAATAAAAGGGTCCCTGCTCTCAAGAAGCTTATAGTCTATTGAAGAGAAACAAATACATGAAGAAGTAAAAGCAAGATAAATGCAAAATACATAAAACAGCTGACTGAGGTACAAATACAATGTTGCTGTCTTTTCCTCCATTTGTATCCCATTTTGGTGCATCAATAACTTGTTAGATCAGGTGGGAGTCGGTTTAATTGCATATCCTAGCTTTTTCCCCCTACATTTTATTCTTCCTTCTAGCTTTGTATTAATTTTGGTCTTTAATAAGTTAGTGTTTGGTGGTGCAAAGAACGTAAACACAGTGTAAGAATGACTTCTACATCAATAACAAGTCACTTCCCATCTGTTAAAATATTATCAATTCTTTTTTCAGTTTTGTTATTCTTTGTCCTTTAGATTTTTATCTTGAAAAAAAAAGTGTCCAAAATAAAACTCAGCTTTTTCCCAAAATTCACTTCCAAACTTCCTGATTGTTGTTGAGGGCATCACAATCTTCCCAGTAACTCAGATTGATAACTTCCCATGCTCCCTCACTTCATTTGATCAAATGAGATATTTGTAAAGCACTTAGCACAGTGCTTGGCACCTTGTAGGTGCTTAATAAATGCCCTTCTCTTCCCTTTCCCCCCATCCTTATTTAATTAGTATTTAAGTCTCATTGACCATACCAATATAACATTTCTCCCATCCATCCATCCTCTTCTCTTTATTCACCCAGTTATCACCAAAGTTCAGGCCCTCATGACCTCTTACCTGGACCATTGCAATAGTCTCCTGATTGGTTTCCCAGCACTCAGTCTCTCCTCTCTTCAATATATCCTCTACTCAACTGCAAACGAATATTCTTAACACCTCAGTCTGTCCATGTTATTCCTTTGCTTGGGAAGTGTCAGTGGCCCCCAGTTGCTCCTAGGACAAAGGACAGACTCATCTGATTTTAAAGCCCTTTGTGATCTGCCTCTAACCCACCTTCCCTTACTGATCTCATCTCCCTGTTCCTTGCTCTCACTGTGTTCCAGCCAAACTGGAGTACTTGGGAAAGGAAAAATCAGTTTAGAGAGAACTTAATACAAGATTCAACTGGACAAAGTCATCCCGAGGGCAGTTACGGATGAACCATGGAGGAGAACAAGAAAGAGATGAAAGAGGAAAATAATCAGCAGATTTTGATAAACTTTTTTTTACTCTCAAGGAAAGCTGAGCAGTGCAATACATACATGTACTCAACTATCAGAATTCCATTCAAGTTTGCAGGCATTTCCCTGGAGGGATGGGTTCAAGTCTTCCTCCTGACATCTGCCTGGAGGCAATAGAGTATCATGGAAAGAGCATCAGGCTTATATAAGAAGGCCTGGATTTGCATCCTGGCTCTGCCACTTTCTACTTACATATTCTAAGGCAAGTAACTTCCCTCTCTGGTCCTCAGTTTCCTCATCTGTAAAATGAGGGCCTTGGACTACATGGCCTCTTAGGTCACTTTCACCTCTGGATCTATTATCTTATCATGTCCAGATGTTCAAATAAAGAAAGCAGAAATGACATGATGAAAATGAAGGGGGGGGGAAGCAGTTGGACTAGTCCAAGTACAAGCATACACAGTGGTGGTCTCTGCCGGAGGTAACACAATTCAAGGAGTATTGAGTGATGGATTCTCAAAGTATATGAAGAAAGGAAACATATCGAAGACATGAGAATAATCTCAAACCATAATATGACCCAAAAAGTGCCCAAGAAAAGACAATAACTACCAACCTTGATGTTCATTTTCTTATCTATATAACATTTTGTGAGAATTATCCACACATGACCCAATGGCATCCTTGATGATGGTATTAGAAGGGAACAGGCATGTTTTATACAAGTGCAAAAACTGGACTGAATCTTTACTATCACACAATTGACTGAAAGGTGTAGAGAATATAAGATCCCATGGTGCTGTTTGTTGACTATTAAAATAACAACAACTATTTGATTTGGTAGAGTAGAACATCAATTGAAAGGTTCTTCTTTAACAAATGGTCTCCCGTGCCTATGTCAAAATTATAGGAATCCTTCAAATACATGACAGAGATCAGCATGTTAATGACAACTCTGATTTTTTAATATCAGGGAGAGGTATCCTCACCAAAGACATTCGCCACTGTCACGGAGGAGACCCAACATAAAGTCAAGGTGAAGAAGGATTCCCAATATAATGGTGAAGTCCTCTCAATGCCTGTTTGCGGAGGACATGGTGCTGATTACATCAAGCAATGGCTTCTAAACAAGATTCACAATCACTCTGAAGACTTTGGTCTAACCATCTACATATGAAACACTAGGTGGATGAAGAATGCTTACTGTCCTGTCTATTTCCTAACAAGCCTTAACATTCTTAACGTTAACATCTGGAAAGATATTTATGGGACACAGCGACTAGAGAGAGCTGAACTTGGGATCAGGAAGACCTAATTTCAATTTGGCCTTAGATACTTAATAGCCTGGTAGTAGTAGTCCCTGGACAAGTCAATTAACCACTGTCTGCCTTAGTTTCCCCATATGTAAAATGGGGATAATAATAAAACTACCTCTCAGTGTTGTAGTGAGGATCAAATGAAATAATATTTGTAAAGTGCTTAGCAAACTTTAAAGCACTACATAAATACTCATTACTGTTATTATAAAAAGATTATCCTGAGGAAAGTGCTTTGTAGCCTCTTTAGAGGGATTGAGACTGGACCAGCTATTCATTGGCATAGGAATGAGGAAATGAATGAGGAAACTGCCTCTTGTCATGCAAATGAGCACTTTCTCTTCAAGTTAAAGTCTTAGAGAGGTATCTAGAACACCGAGAGGTTAAGCAATTTGCATAGGGTCACACAGCCAGTGTGTGGGACTTAAACTCAAGCCTTACTGGCTTTTAGGCTAGGCTGTTATTCTCTACGCCATGTCGCTTCTCTGGTCATTGAAGTGGTGTAGAAAGAGGAGCTGTTATTCTTCAGCCAGAATGTTCCTCTCTGTAACTTCCACCAATTGGTCCCAGTTCCATTCCCAACAACCAAGTGCAATAAGGATTTTTAAGGTTCTATACCTAAATGGGATTGTTTATGAAGAAATAAGGCAGTGAATTAGGTATGCCTGGGATGTGTAGCTCCTGTTTCCTGGAGAAAAAGACACATAATGAGAGAGATGAGAATAGGTGAGGGGGCTGATTAAGAAGGTGACTCAAGACAGAGCAAAAGAGAGATTTAGTTCTGTTTGGGAGCTAATAGTCTCTCCTTGAGACAACCTGTGTAAGACTATGAGAGGGTTAATAAAATAATAATTATTTTTATTTTTAAAATATTTTTAAATTTTTAAATATTTTAAATTATTTTTTAAATAATTAAAAAAATTTTTGAAGTATCTTACTAATATGGTCTTATGCAAAGAGAATCTAGTTAAATAGATCAGGGACATTTTTACAGTAGCATTAAAAAGCTCCTCTCCCTCTTTTTCTCTGTCTCTCCTCTCCTCTCCTCTCTCCATCTCTTCTCTTCTTTCTCTCTCTCTCTGCCTCTCTCTCTCTCTTTCTCTCCCCTTCCTTTTCTCCCTCCCCCTCTCTCTTCACCTATCTCCCTCCCACCCTGTCTCTTCTTCTCAGTTTCTCCCTTCCCCCTCACTATTTCTTTCTGTCTCTCCATTTCTCTCACTCTTTCCCTGTCCCTCTATCTCTGTGTCTTCGTCTCTCTCTCTCTCTCTCTCTCTCTCTCTCTCTCTCTCTCTCTCTCTCTCTCTCTCTCTCTCTGTCTCTCTCTCTCTCTCTGTCTCTCCTCTCCCATGGGATAAAGCTACAAGGGACTTAATCAACCCGTACCTTAATCTCCTTTATAACATATGTGAGAAGTCATCCTTTAGCTTTTGCTTGAAGCCCTGTTATAGTGCAGGGGGAGCCCACAGCTTCCTGAGGCAGCCCTCCCTACTTTTTATTAGCTATAATCACTAGGAAGCCTTTTCTGACGTCAGACCTCTCAGCAGCTTCTATCCTTAACAAATCCACATTCCTTTTCCACCTGAGAACACTTCATATACTTGAAGACCTGATCAAATCACCCCTAAATCTTCTCCAGACTCAACTTTCCCATTTCCTTCACTAGATTCTTGTATGGCATGTCCTCCAGTCTTCCCACCATCTTGGTCTCCTTTTTCTGGAAATACTCCACCTGGTCTACATCTTTCTCAAATTGTGGTGCTCAGGACTGTATTCCAGATGTGACCTTCTGAAGATGGAATTCCAGGGAACTATTAACTCTTTCATTCTGTACATTGACTTTCTAAATGCAGACTGGGATAGCTCTAGCTTTGGTTGGCTGCCATAACCCACTCATATGGAGTACACTACAATACCTAGCTTTTCTTCATGGGAGCTATTGCCTAGCTATGACTCTCTCTTCCTGAATTTGAGAAAAGGATTTTTTTTTAAACCAAGTGTGGGAATTTATATTACTCCCATTGCGTTTCATCTAATTCAGTTCTGCCCATTGCCACAGTCTAGTGGTTTCCAAAATTATCTTTGATCTGCAAACCCCTTTCAACAGCAACAAATTATTTATACACACACACACACACACACACACACACACACATACATATACGTATATATATATGTACATGTATATATATATATATATTATATATATATATATATGTACATGTATGGTGAACCCCTAGGGTAATTTAATATATTACTCATAATATTCTTTCAGATTTATTCATAAAGTGCTTACAATAACTACAATGGTAACTTTTACTCCCCAAAAGCTCCAAATTAAAATTTATATGATATAATTATGGTTATAAAATATAAAATCATATTCTAAACTATAAATAGAAATAGTTAATAAGCAATATATAACATATAAATATATTAAATCATAAATATAAAACTATAAACTATAAAATAATTATGAATATTTTATGTAGGAAGGGAATAAGTATTTATATAGCATCTACTATGTGCCAGGCACTGTGCTAAGCACTTTTTTACAAAAATTATCTCATTTGACTCTCACAACAAACCTGTGAAGTAGGTGCTGTTATTAGCTTCATTTTATAGCTGAGGCAAACAGAGGCTAAACGACTTGCCCAGGGTCACACAGCTGGCAAATGTCTGAGACTGGATTTGAACTTATTTCTTCCTGACTCCGGGCCTAGCAGTCTATCTATCCACTGGGCCTTGGGATTTCTGCAATAACTTTTTGTTCATTTAAGAAGAAACAAGGCATTGCACGAGGTATACTTAGAACATGTATCCCTGGTTTCCTGGAGCATAAGACGCACAATTACAGGGATGGGAATAGGCCAAGGGGCTAATTAGGAAGGCCACCCAAGACAGGGCAAAAGAGAGATTTAATCTTGTTTATTTAGTTATCTCCACGTAGCTTCCTCTATCTGAGACACTCTATAAAATTAAAAGAAATAATCCAGCAAGGTCTCATACGCTTACTATTATCTGCAAAATTTCATACTAAATTTCTTTTTGAAAATATATTTTCTTGAATATAAACAACATTTTTAAAGAAATAATTTACAATTTGGAGGATGTTTAACATAATGTAATATTTATATATAAACTTAATTTTGATGCTCAATTTTTTTATTTGAACAAAGGTTTGAAATACCTGACTCAACATCAAACAGACATCAGCTTAAGTCTAGTTCCTCATCAAGTTTATTAATGATGATGATGATGATGATGAGGATGACAACTGCTAGAATTTTACAGCGATTTAAATTTTGCTTTACAAATTTTGCTTTACAAACACTATCTCATTTGATCTAAGATAAAAGTGCTATTATCATCCCATTTTACAGATGAGAAAACTGAGACAAACAGGTTAAGTGACTTGCTCAGGGTGATACAGCTAGTAAGTTGCAGAGGATAGATTTGA